GCTTACGATCAATCATTTCACGTGCGGAATGGATAGTAACTGAGACTTAAAGACGTAAGTACAGAAAAATATAAATAAATTGGCCGAGTTGCGTTAGAACGAGTACGAAAAAATGCAGCGTCTTACTGTTTTAGACTCTTTGTAGAACACAAACAAATTATCTAATAACTTTTGCCCTGATTATACTGAATTAATGAAGGGCACACTTCCCCCGGTTGCTAAATTTCAATACCAAGACATGGCAAATCTGGTTCCCCGATCAAACGGAGATTTCAATGCCCAACTAAAAAAATTTAAGTCAGAAAATAAGATCATATGTGTCTATTTTTCGTCGCTTTTAAAACAGACTTCGCCTCTACGCTGCTACGTCTGAATGTGGGATCCCCGCAAAACGTATGTATATGGCTAAGTAAACTGACCTTAAGTAACACCAAAAGCTGCGTCAAGATCGGGAAAGACCTCTCCGAGCCATTCGATACCAAACGAGATTTCAAACAAGGCTATTCTTTATCTTGGGACTTCTCTAATTTATTTGCTGAAAATAAAGGTACAATATTCTATAAGAGTATACAAACTGGATAAAGAAGCGATCCAGTCATCAGATTCTCAACTCGGCACCCACATTATTTTGGGCAATTAAAACTTTGAAGTCGTAGATAACTCCTCCTATCCTGGAGCCAACATTAACACCAACAACAATGTCAGTCTGGAAATTGAGCGCAGAAAGATTTCGATGCAGTATCCGGCGATTGATACAGATACAAGCTAGAGAAGAACCTGCCTGCGGTTGGTACTTCCAATTGGCGCCAAATCGCGAAGAGATACAATGAATGACGCGCTGCTAATTATTCGACTATAATCGCGGTATCTACGCCAGTAAAGAAGAAGAAAAAATCGTTTTAATAGATTCGTTGATGCCTTTATTATTAAAAAAATTATCAAACCGCACAATAAAAATAGAATATGTATATGTTAAGTGCACCTAAATGATGATTATATTTTTGCAAAAGAAAAAAAAAAAATAAAACAAAAACTAGAGTCACCTGTTTCTCAACATTCTTAAAAAAAGGATTAAAAATGCTTGAAGCAATGAAAATCATATGCTTACATTTAATTTCTCAAAATCAATAGACGGAGATACCAAATTCAACTAACTTGAGCGAGTATATATACAAAAACACCATTCTTCTGTACTCACCTACTAAAATGCGAAAGGCAATGCCATGAATGAAACTAAAACTATTGTATATACCAGTAGTATTGGCATTAATTAGTAAGCCAACAATGTACAATTAGAACAACACACACACATATACATATACAAAAACACGTATAACAAATAGCTCTTAATGAAGGAAAGCGTGTCAAAAGACAGGACTACTTGTATCTGTGTTTCAATAAAGTTGAAGAGAAGACTGCAAACAGTTGCAGAAACTATAGCAACAACAATGCATGTTGTGCAAAATATACAATAAAAGTGCAACCGCCATACAAAAATAACAAACAAAATTATACTTATAACAGCACGAATAATAGCTTAATGTGACAACGAAAGGAAACGCAAAGAGAAAAAGCAAAATTCAAGCAGAGCATTACCGACACAATATATGTGTGTATTTTAGTGAAAGTTGTAGAAATAACAAAAATTAAAAAAGGTGTAAAAAAATTAAAAAATTATAATTAAATTAAAAAAATATCTATAAAATGAGTAAAATAAATTTTAAAACTTGCCGGCAAGGCTAATAAAAAAATTAAATAAGCTAAGCTCTGACATTAGCCAGTTTGTATTCAGGTCATGTCGATTCAACGAAAAAGTGCAACTTTGGAAAGGAAAAAAATTAAAATTCCGAAAAGCGAAATGATTACTTTGCTAAAACAGTAACTAACGGAGTAAGGGAAAATGCCACCGTAATTGTAGAGAAAACCCTGAATTGATTTACAAGCACTGAATTTGTTCAAATTTCAACTGAACGGACTTTCTGCTGGATTTCCCGTGTTATCCTTTCCCATGGCTTTGCTTTTTGCACATGTCGCTGCTAATTCACCTACATACATTTCGGTTGCATTATGCTTTCACTGACTCTTTGGGCAAGTTTTACTATTCCGAAATTGACATAAATGAAATTAATAAAAAGAAAAATTACGTAAAAAGTGAAAATAAAAAACTCACAAAATACAAAGAAAATACCAAAGTAACCAAAAAGCAAAGTTGAATTGAAGACAAAATGTCCCCAGGGCCAATTGAAACAAATGCTATGCCACAGCCTTTGACCGAGTGTGATTGAATTAAAATGTAGCACACACACACATATACATACATACATGCAAACGTAAAATGCACACCAAAACACAGCCGAGGAAGTCAACTGTGAAAAGTGTGGCATTCAATGTATGTGTGTTTGTTTAAATATGCATTTGATTGTGAGCAGGCTCGCAAGTCAATTTATATATATATATATATGTGTGTGTGTGTGCGTGTGTAAAGGATAGTCTGCTTTACCTGTTAGCGCAGGACGAACAACGAGCAAATTTCTGTTTCGAAAGAGAAGAATTAGAACGACTATAGAAATACAGTTATATGTACATAGTATTTATATGTGTGTGATTTTCAAGTTTTGGTTATTTGCTTATGAGCCATAATATTTCTCCTACGTGTGAGTGTGTGTGAGTATGTTGGTTGGAGTGCAAATATTGACACTAATTTAAAATTACAACACTCCTAGGACGAATGATGAATTGCCCGCATGGCGATGTGTCAATGTAATTGTGTTTTTGGCAAGAGAAATGCAGGTACAATTTGAAAGAAATATCACGTAATTTTTTTTATAAAACTTGCAGTCAGTAAATGCATATCTGTATACGAAGGCAACTGAATAGAAATATATTTGCATTTATATGCACATAACAACCAGCATATTAAATATATATGCAATGCTTACCCTTAGTAAAATATGTCATTTTGCTGACCGCAAAGGTTTAAATGAAGTGTAAATATCTCGTACAAACATAACCACACAATCACACCTCCACACCGCATTATAAATAATCTTGCACTGGTAGGCTCGAATGGCTACTCCTACAGCTGGTCCCATTCATTGTCAAGTCCTTGCAAAGTAAATACGGGAAAAGTTAAATAGTGATTTAAACTTGGCAAAAGTATGTTCGCAGTTTTAACTAAGGAAAATGAAATAAAATGTCCTAGATGGCCTTTGTATACGTATGTTTATATATTTATGCGGGTGTTAGAAGCAAGCGTAGGTGAAATTTTCACTGTATCCTTAATAAAAGTGAATAGTTATGGTATAATAATTAAAGTAATGCCGGAAAGCAGCAAGCAGTATTTAGTGTCAAATAAATAATTTTGCCTCTAAAGTATCAATTTGATAATATTCAAAATTCAGTAAACAACAGTAAGTCACAAAAAAGTATCGAGTTTAAGATCAGTCATTTAGCAGGACACAAAAATCAAAACAAAAAATTTATCTTTATAATTGACGCATAAAATAATATTAAATAAAATAATGGAAAAGCAAGTTAGAGCTTTTATTTGGCGAAAAATTTATTGTGAAGAAAACTATAAATGAGATAGAAAACCAAAAAATAAACGATTCGTTTTATTAGAAACATCTGTTAGAAAGATATTAAAATTAAAAATTAATTCCATGATCGGGATTATACTATACTAACGCTTGCATGGAATTTTGGAGATTCTTGGAGGCATTTGGCTTCTTCTTCATTCATTTTTCAATAGTCTTCATCATTTTAGACTTTTGTCCTAGAGAAATTGGAGTTGCAAATAAAATCCATACCAGTTTGTCGTTATGTAAAATAAATAGTCGTCGCTAGGACAACAACAATAACCACATATTATTGTGTTTTTTTTTTACTTTTTGTTCAATTGTAAAAAGTTTTGAACATTTATAATTAAGCTTCAAATTCATCGATCGATATCTGACCTAATTTCTGAAAAGAATTGATGTATCAAGTAAAGTGAGCTATAATTTTTTTTTTCAAATATATTGGTATCTAGTTAATTTTCGGTGAAAGGAGTTCTCGAAACCATTCTCAAATTAGGCTGAGCACACACAAACAAAATCATTAAAATTGGTTTAACCGTTTGGAATGTCGGAATGGTGCTGATTTTTGACTAGTGTGATACAGACCGATCTGAGTCAAACTAGTTCTGAACTGGTGTAAACGACCCAGTATTTTAACTAATTAATGTGAAATGATATTTAACTAGTATGCAGCTGATTCATAGACTGGCAATTGACAGTTCGTACAACATCGTCATGCTTACATGGAAAATAGATGGAAGATATTTTTTCCTGATATTTTTCCTGTATTAAATAAACATTAATGCATAATTTATGCATAAATACACATAATTGATAAAGAATTTTTGGTCGCGTCCAATAGTATAAGCGGTGATGTGCATAGTCTTTCCGACAGCTCCAACCACAACTTTCTCATCCTTCTTGACCTGAATGGAACCTTTTTGTTTAACTTCAGGTCATGGAGGCTTTTCAAAAACCCAAAGGAGCATTTAAAAAAAGGTTGTAGAAACTAGTTATAATTTAAATGCAAAAATTTCGAATGTTTGTGTACGCACATAAAGGTAATGTTTAATATAACGAGCAGCTATTGTTTATTTTAAGGAGCAATTATGGTTCGTAAAGCTCTTTGAGGAATATGCTTTTTGTTAAGTGCTCATGCGCATCCCCATTAAAGATCGGTATGAGCGGACTTCCGGAATTCATATCACGGCAAATTTTTTGCAAAATCGCCTATTAAACAAAAATAAAATCTATCAATTTGTGAGATTAGTGACTGTATCAAGTAAAAATGAGGGTAAAACGGATTTGTAATATGACATACCGAAGGCAGTGATATATTTTCCATACAATAAATTATCAATTATTATGAAGGCAAAAGCTTTGTCTACTACTTTTTACTCAGATAATGATTTTTAATACTATAAATATTTCTATTTTCTTTAGGTGTTACTATTCTACTTTCGCTCACTGTCTTCCTCAATATGGTAGCTGAAACAATGCCAGCCACATCTGATGCCGTACCACTCTTAGGTAAGCGATAAAGTTATATTCCAATATATAGATGTGCGTTCGCTGTGTATGTATTCCTTAACTATTCAATTACTATGATATAAATGTAGACAAATGTGTGTTTTAGTTTTGAAAAAAAAAATATGTGCAAATTCAGTGTTCAATCTAATATAATCTGAATAAGTTTAAATATATATTTTTTTTGGTTTTCAAAAGTTATCATACAACAAGCACACGCTAAAGCATAACATACTAACACTATTTTAACACAATTATTCAAATATATAACAAGAAAATTAAAAATTTTCAAATGAAAGAGATAAAAACATTACATATAATTGAAAATAAATATATAATAAATTAAAATGAATGAAAAAGTTGAGAACACAAATAATAGTTAAAAATTAGTAAAACCTAATAAGGAGAAATTAAATTATTAATAAATTTAAAAAAAATTAATTTAATAAAATTTAAACTATAACTTGCTTACGCCATATTATTGATTGAATATTTTAGAAAAAAATGTCAAAAAATATATCCTATTAAAACCTTTTAGTTTTAAATATTTATAATTAAAAATATAAAAAAAAACGAACTAAAATAGAAAGCAAAAAAATAGAGTAAAATAAATAATTTAAAAAATTAATAAAAAAAATATATTTAACAAAAAAAAAATTAAAATACAAAAAGTTATACATAATACGATACTCACATCACCTTGAATTTCATACAAGTTAAAAAATACACTGACATTCATTATTTATATACGTTATTATCTCGTTCACTGTCGTTTCCGCTGTAGTTTTGTCGTTGTATCTCATATTCGTGTTTGCTGTTTTTAGCTGAGAATGCAGAAAGTTAACTGCGTTCGGCTACATACTAAAACATATACATATATATATTATATATCTATATTTTGATGCCTTATCAAGCATTTCAAATATAAAATTTAATAAAAAAAATATTTTAAAAAAAGTATCGATGATTTTATAATATTAAAACTTTGACACGTTAAAAGTAAAAGCTTTTAGCAACTTTCGCTTAAAAGCAAACAAACGCAACAGCTAACAATTTTTTAATTTGTATGACCGTTTCAAGCTTAACGCACACATACAAATAAAAATAAATAATTGAAATTCAAAGATAATAACACAGTTAAGCTTGCTACGCGCCACACAAAAAAGCTGCTGCAAATTAAATAATAAAATAAACTACAAAACAACAATAAGTTGCAATTATATGCGCCTTTTATTTAAACTCATAACAGTTAATTAATATGCACCACCATTTTATAGTCAGAAAAAATATATATTAAAAAAAAACACGCAAAAATTAAAAAAAAGTTTAAAACAAAACCAAAAACTTTGTTTTCGAATTTATTCATGCAGTCTAATTAATTTCAACTCACAACTCGAGAATAATGAAATAATCTGCTAACATAATCGCATTTTTTTATTCTTAACATATTTGTACGACTTCAGTTTGCTAGGGGATTCGAACAAAAAAAATATTTGAAAAAAGTTATTCATTATTCACTTGCATCCATATACTTTTTTGTGCATTCCAACTTTTCAATTCGATTTTCATGCAGAGTTGCACATTTTGTATTTTTTCTGCACGTTTTTTAAATATTTGAATTTGCGAATAATATTAATGTGTATTTAAAAATTATAAATTTAATTAAAATACTTATGTTTAATCGTATACTCTTAAAAATGAAATATAACTAAAAATAAAATAAATTTCTATTAAAAATAGTTTTTTAAAATACGAAAATTTTTCGTACAAATTTGACCAAATTGTTATGTACATGTTATATATGTTTGTGGCATATAAATTCGACATTGACTTGATTTGAGGGGAGGGTGGTGTTAGGACTTACTTCTTACACTTCTCTTTCTGTTAAATATGCCAGCTTGTTTGGGGAACTGCAGCTTTTTTATGTAAAACTGGCTTTGGTCGGACCCATCGGCAAAGCCAGCTTTTAAAAGATTTATCAGGAAAAATCAGCCAAAAGGCACTGCTTTAAAGTTGCTTGCCTCCAAAGTTTCGTTTTCTTTATTGGCGCAGTTCCGATTATAGCCGACCAATTTTATATATAGCGGCGTAGAAATTATATTACCCGACATCATAATGAGTATTCCCAGAAAGCAGAAAAAGTTTGGATGTCTGTTGTGAGTGTGGTTTTGCGATATCCAACCTTCCTTGTGATTTGCTCTGGTCGTTCTATCCTACACAGAGGTGGGTAAGTTTACTTGATGTGTAAATACACACAGTTTTAATACTACGGTCATCGCTCTGAGGTACCAATAAGGTATTCATAGAAGTAATTTCTGTGTTGAAAATTATCACTCTAATGCTCATTGGGGATAGACGTTCATCTAACAATGTGAACGATAGTGCCCAGCGACTGAGACTCTCCCCTAGCGCGAATTCGATGCCAAATTTATATATGGACGCTGTGGAATATGTCACTAGATCCTACTTTCTTTCAAACTCGTTTAATTTAGTGAACCCCCTGGATGGCGGTAATGGCAGCCTGAATTTTAGCGACATTAATATGCCACCAACTAAGGGACCGAACATTCCGATTGCTGCATGATCTTAAATCATAATTATTTGTATAATTCTTCGCAAGTCCGTTGAGGGCAACTTCAAAATTAGCTATTGGTGGCTGGCAAGCATACAACATATTTATATATTATATCAGCAGTTCGCTTAAAGGCCGACTCACGACCGCATCCGCCCCACTAATGTACGGACTCTGCTGCAAAACCAAATTTGTGAGGGTGTCCCTTTCTTCTAGCCGTAAATATCACTTATCTGTATTGTGTATGAGTAAGAATAGAATTGAGTTTAGCTTTGAAAAAATCCAAATTTATTAGTTAGTATTTTTTACGTCGAAAACGCCTTCTGTAAACAGCTTTATAATTAACGCTTTGTAACCGCAACTTCCGACCGAGCTTCCTCTTCAGTTTTTGGTTCGAATTTGATTTAAGAAGAGCTTTCATTTAATGTCGGAAATACACTCGCAGGTCTCGACATACCCTGTCGAGAGTTGACCGCATTTATTAAAATTAATTTTCTACTATTCTGGATATTGGTGAATTAGGAGTTGAACCCTGGCAATCCGAATGTTACAGTGTACTGCTAATCACTCGGCTAATACGGCCAACGTCTGCAGCGCTTAAACTCTTCAAAAAAAGTTCTATGAGATTACATGATATTTGCATAAAAAGCTCTGTAATAACTAATACAGAGTGTTCGGTGCCAGGGTTCAATGAGAATTAGTTGGAAAGTTATCCAGATTCATTTAGAAAATACAACCTTCAAATTTTTATTTTTAACTAAACTGATAATAGGTGCTATCAATAGCACTTTCTTAATTAGCGAGCTTAACTTTACCATCCCAGATACCTTAGGTCCCTTTCATTTGACTCGTGCAGAACAAACTATGAAATGCACGACCCTCAGAGGATCTTTGTGTTACGATTTTAATACACATTTTCCCAACATTGATTCCTCTGACGCGCTTTTCTGTATAAAAATCTACTTACTGAGTGCTGTAAATAATTAAATATATTCCCTCTTCTTTTCCAAATACAATTTTATAGCAGCGGATGAACAAATCTGTAGCTGTTTAGTGTAAGAGGCAAGTGTAACCGCGACCTTCCGCGATCGGTTTCGGGTTCAGGGCAGTTTGGACTGATTCTGGTTTTCGGTCACCGGTCTGTTGGACTTTCGATTTCCCTCAGACGCGCCCCTCGGTCGGCTGGGCGGGAGGTGGGTAATGCTGGGTTCGTCGTAAAAAAAAGAACCGAAATGGTGTGATACTTGGACTAGTAATCCATGAAGTAAAATTTGAGATCTGTATAAGGTTACTTACAATACAGCATCGTGGGGAGCTGTCAAATGGAATCATATATCATTTCTGCTGTTTTAATTCTTTAGCTCTTTTAAGAAACAAGTTTTCCAAGCTTATTTGCTTCTGTTTGTTTCATTTTCCCTTACTTTTGTAAACAACTTCCAATTTCCCCAATCTAAATCTCACTACAGATACATGTGAATTCGACTGCTGGTAAAATTTCTTCGCAATTCTTGTACTTACAGCACCCAACTGGAGTTCTATGCTACAAAAAAACTTTTCAATGTCCAATTTAAATGCCAAAATAACAAACAAAAATCATGGTTTTGAATACCAAAAGTACAAAATTTGTGTAAAAAATGCAAGAGGAAATAAATAATTAAAAACTTAAATGAATAAACTAATGACATTTTTTCATAAACTTTAAACTACGAAATGTTTTTTAATTATGTACTTTTGTATGTAATAGTATTTGATTATATAACTATAAAGAAAATAAATTTACAGTTGCTATGTTCTACTATGCTCTATAATCTATAATACTACCTTTCCAACATAATTGTATGAACAACTATTTTTAAAGCGTTAAATAATTTGTGTACATAAATATTTGAAGTCTAAAATTTACTGCTTACATTTGAGAAATATTTATTAAAAAAAACGTTTTATTTAATTCACCCCCATATATGTATTTGTACCGTTATATATAGAGAGTCAAACTTTCATATAAACTAAATTTTGCTCAGAAAGTAAAAATTTACAAAAGAAAAGATCTATCAAAAAATAATATCAGTAATTTGCTTTACTAATGTCAAATTTTTGTATATACTTTTTTCTATATTCTTCTTCTACTTCATTTCTACGCTTAAAAACTAAAAATAAACTCGTGACCCCTAAACCACTACCATAACCATACCACGACCACTGAATGTCAATATTCCGTCACTCTTTAATAAAAATTAATAATTTTAATGCAATGCATAATTAAATATAAACGCAATTTCTATTTAAAATCACTTTTTCAATCAATTATGGGGTGTTGAAAAATATACAACACTAACTGTTTTATCAAATAAAATGCAACATATGGTTTCAACAATAATGGCTTTTTAATGAAAAATCCTTACTTTGTAAATTTAATTTAATTTTTTACTAAAAAAAAAACTTCAATTGCGTTATTAAAAAATCAAAATCTTCCCAAAAAATTTTAATAATTTTCAAAATTCTAAAATTTGCATTTACATAATTATGCAAAAAAAAAAACGAACAAAAAAACCCACACTCTTTCTAACAACTACAACCAAATTTTCATATCCAAAACAAACAAACAAAAAATAAATAAAATAAAAATAACAAACAAAAAATTATGAAAAAAATGAAAAACTCACACGCCCAACCAACCAACAGGTACATATTTCAATTGCATAATGTTTATGGTAGCTTCATCCGTTGTGTCAACGATTTTAATATTAAATTATCATCATCGAAATGCTGATACGCACGAAATGTCCGAATGGGTAAGTTTTGTTAATGCAACAACAGCAAAAACTACTACTACTACTACTACAACAAGTACAAGTACAAGCAACATTCATTCATTCAATCAATCAGTCAATCAATCAATCAGTCACATGAAGGTGTTAAGAGATGCTTATTTAAAAAAATATAATATCTACAAACATCGTCAGTATTAATGTGTGTTAAGTAGTAGCGTAAACGCCTGAAAGTATGCAAGGTTATGCCGCTCGTAAAGTTTTTGCTTACTTTTTGTGTTTATGTGTGCTTGTGTTTTGTGTTACACTGTGTTTGCTTTTATTTTTCTTTTGCTTTCTTGGCGTTGTGTCATTATATCTTATTTATTTATTTTCGAGAAAAAAAATATTTTCCAAAGTTTTTCATTTCGCTTCGAATTCCAAACAAATATTTAAAGAAAATCAATTTTTAAAGATATGAGTCTTTTAATATTTCCAAAAACAACTCTTGCTTCGACAATGAAAAATAACAAGGTCCTTCATTGTGCGCAATTATATCCATGCCATGTCCAGCTTATAAAAATGATTCCAAACATTAAAATTTCACGTCATACTTAGCGATGTCATTTGTTTTATACTTTTTACCTGTAAAATTTCGGAATAGTTTTTTATTTTTCTCTAAATTCAAAATTAGCGATTTCTTACCCTTTTCAATACAAACCAAAGCAATATTTCATATTAATAAATTTATCAAAAACTTGTCACACGTTGCTCAAAAGTTATGTAATGTATATGTAGACAACTACATTTGGATCAAAATATATCAACAATTGAGTATAACATAATTTCTACCTGAAAATAAACTAACTTTGATTAGATCTTTTAAGTAATAAGTTCTCCACAGTGACATAAAAATTATTAAAACAAAATTTCAAAAGTCAATTTTTTTCCAAGTTATTTTCACGACAAAATTAAACACAAAATCTGCTCAGAAAACCTTCTTGATTATTTCTAAAATTAAAGGATGCATTTTACTATATTGTAACTGGCATTTAACTCTTGGAAACCGAATCTCATATAGCAGGGCACATTAACATATTTTCTATCACTTTTTTTTTTGCAACCATTGTTTGCCATTTTTATTTTCTTACAGCCAGAGTCATTAATTTAATATTACTTTATGTTCAATTTCACTGTCTCTTGCCATTATAATTTTCTTTTATATTGTTGTTATTGTTAGCTGCATATATATTTAGTGTATCCAATAAAAAAATGTACAACTTACGTATAAGTATGCAACGCCGCGATTAAAGCAGCAAAAAAAGCAATAAATAAAACGAAAAAATGTCGCTCGCTATTGTGTGTGTGTATTTTTTGTGTGTTGTCGTTAAACGTCCACTGCATACTACTACTACTATAAATGTAATTTATGTAATGAAAAATATCGTAATGTTGATGTTGGGCCCCTTAAAGTGAAGCAAAAAAAAAAGAAAAATATATGAGAAAACCACACACAAAAAAAAATATATGTAAAAAATAACAAACCTAAAATGTGTGTTTGTGTATGTTTCCTCTAGCCGCAAACTACCGGTTTGGTGTGCAGGTGTGGGTGTGCGTACCGTTTGAAGGGTATGCACGCTCAACGCAACACACAGCCAGTGGAACAGTGAAAAACACCATAATAGAATTTTTTTGTATTTAAACCAAAATTTTGTTGCAGTAATTATAAAAAGCTTCTTTGCGAATATTGAAAATTTCAAAGTCTAATGTACCTTTATACGTGTGATGGTGTTTATCTGCTTAAAAGTATTTAATATTTGTATCGTTAGTATTAAAAGTATTTGGTATCTTTAAGTTCACTCTATTTGTTGCTATTTATTAAAAAGAAAGCATACTTAAAGGCGTGCTGACTTTTTTCAACAAGGATACACTTCGCTTGAAAGCCTTCACTTAAATTGTTTATCCTAATAATTAAGAGCAAAATTTATTTAACATTTTCGCAACTTTTTTCTATTTTTCTTCTGTTCATATATTTCTAGGTTTCTAGCTTTTACAAATCTCTTTCATCTGTTAGTTGACTAAAGTGTATAAAATCTATCCAAGTTGTTATACGTTGTGTGTTAACTGTTTAGCAATAAATATTTGAGTGATTCAAACAAATCAAATGCAATTACTCTGATTACCGTGCTGCTTCGGGTACTTAAAGTTATTTTGCATCGTTTTTTTATCTTACTTAAAGGGGAAAACCAATCTAGATGTTCAAAAATAGACTCAGTTTTAAATATTTATTGCAGGAATATAGGAAAAGGAATAGAATTTATATTTAACCATTTCAATGAACATATTTCGAAGTATAAAAAATTATTCTATAATTAATTTGTTACAAATCCATTTGTTGAAAGGTGTCCAAGGGAGAATGGATTTGTTCTAAAAGTTGAGACTTACAACTTAAGAGCAAAAAGCTTTATGATGTACAAACTATGGTTTTTGGAAGTCCGTACGGCCTTATTTTTTAACTAGTTTTTTGAACGCGGCACACTATATTTTTTAGAAATATTGATTTTTGACTTAAAAAAAACGCTTAAAATTATTTAAAAAAAATTCACATATAATCTTCCAAAAATAAATGTATATTATTTCTACGTTCCAAAGGTAGCCGGTAATCAATTAAAAAAGACTTCTTTTTCAAAATCTTGAAGTGGCTTTACCCCTCAATGAACTAGTAAACATTTTTTCTTAAAGAAAGTCTTTTTTAATAGTCTAAAATGTATTTAAAGAAAAAATAAAGAAGTCAAGTGAAATAATAGTCATATAGGTACATTGTACATATGATAATGTTATTCATATATTATATATTAGGTCACGTAAAAGGTTCGTTCGGTTTTTTATTGATTTTTCAAAATATGATAACTTTGTGTACATTTGTCCGCGTTAAGTCAAATATGCGCCGTTTTGTTTGTAAACTTTTTGCCAACGAGATGCCAACATCATTATGCCCCTTTCGTAGAAGGGGCACCATTAAGCGCGTTCGCCATGGACAGGAAAAATGGTAATCACTTGGTGCCAGGTCCGGACTATAAGGTGGGTTAATTAAGATCTTCCATCCGAACTTCTGGAGCTTCTGGCGCGCCACCAAAGACATGTGTGGCCTGGCGTTGCCCTGATGGAGCACAATTCGACCTCTGTTGATCAAAGATGGCCTCTTATGGATGAGTGCTTCTTCCGGTCTTGGTTACTATCTGGTGCCGCTTCTCCGAGTTTTGACCATGACCGTTTGCACTCCATGTTGTCGTAAGTGACCCATTTTTCAGCGCCAGTAGCAATCCGCTTCAGAAACGGGTCGATTTTGTTGCGATTCGCAGATGGAAATTTGTTTTTTTGCGATAGTTCTTGTGGCACCCAAGTTTATGCAACTGGTTCCAAACCGTTTTCTGGCTTATCTTTAGTTCCTCAGCAATTAAAAAGGTGCCTAACTATTTCCATGAACCGGAACGGAACCTAGCAAGCCACTTTTGTGCTATACGTTCGTTTACAGTTTCGGGCCCATAAACTAAATCTATTTTTTCAGCCGCTTTGGCTGCTTTTTCGCCTTGATCGAAGAAAAATGGTAAAATATAGCGAATTTTCTCTTTGTTGGTGTCCATCTTTGACGAACACTCACAACGTACTTTGTCATTCAATCGAAAAAACTGTCAACGACAAACCTTTAGCGCGAGTAAACACGTTTTCAGCGCCATATAGTATGATATGATACGATGTAACACTAGTACTATGGACAATAACGCCATCGCTTAGATAAAAACCGAACGAATTTCTTACGTGACCTAATATAATCACAAATATATATATATATAAACTGTATGCCTAATTGGTGCTTTGCAACCGCTTCGATCGAGCTTCTCCTGCTTTTTTTTAGCAGACTACCACTTCGACAATATGACAGTTGAGGCCAATGATAGCAACTATTATTTTCTCCTGTCACGAAGCCTCGCTAGGTACCACACTGCTCGTAGAAGTCTTTGCTAATTGCAGTGGTGCTTTCGGAGTTTTCAGCGTCAATTAAAGCTGATTTTTAGGCAGCACAAAAATAGATAAAATGGTGGTGTGGATTGGTGCTTTTCTCAATGATTTTTTTTATATATAATTGGAGCTGAAGCGATTTTCATCCGAGCTTCTCCTCCAATTTGTGGGTTTGCGCCTTGATGTTTTTCCAACAAATGAAGGGACGTGCAGTTTACGCTAAGCCGCCTCCGAACGGCTGATGGTTTTTATGAGGAGCCTATTATTTCATTTCAAAAGTGCGCTCGAAGGGATTGACATTCCCTGCCGAGGGGGAACACGATTATACAATTTTAACTAATTTTCTTATTTACATTAATTTTCGATAAGTTTTGGATGTTGATCAAATTCGGGACTTCCGAATGGCAGCACCCAATAATAACCACTCAGCTACTATGGCCACCCGAAAAAAAACTTACCCCACCATAATTCGCGGTCCACCTATATTGTGGACTCGGTAGAGCACGCTCAGATTCCACTCATCGTCGGCAGCGTATCGTATCTTCGGCACCATATCACCAATCGCCTTGTTCAGGCGAGCAATCGAACTTCATCATAGTCGGTTGATTATACCATTCTCATAGTTAGAAGTTGCGGGTTAATTACCTCCAGATGTTTAATTTTACTGAAATTTAGTAGGCTGGAGAATATTTCCCTTCATATATTCGATGTATTTCAATGTCTTTTACCAGACACCCTTTCGCAAAAACAAGCAGACGTTCAGTCGGCTGGATACATGCCCCAAACAATGGGCATATCTCTTGTCTTTTTTTTTTTTGCTCGCATGCTTCGCATCAGAGTTGATATAATATGTTATGTTAATGAAAGATACACAAAAAACGAGTACAGCTCTTTCCACCGGACAAAGTTGGCCAAATTTGGAGCCGAAGTAAAAATAGCTTTCTTTTTCAAGCGATAATTCAATATAAATTTATTCTTAATTTATATACAAAGCCTTGGTTCTCATGTCTGAGTGTAGGTGTATT